AAATATATTGCAGACTCGTATGCGTAGGAGAAACCAAAAAAAAATAATTACGTCGATTACAGCACCACCTATCATGAATCGAAAAAGTTTTTGAGACAAATCCTACGTACTTTTAGCCATAGAATCCGAATCTGCAATAAAGATAGGGGTTTATTTAATATTTTAAAGTTACCCCCACCCTACCTACAACAAGGGGGAAGGGAGACTAATTTTGGTACCAATGTATTCCCTCCGTGGAATGATTAAATTTTGATTATGGTCATATTTTTCGTATTTGTCGAGATATTTGAAAGTTTTAGGTTAAAAAAAATCACTCGGTATACTAAAGAGCAATTACTTACAGTCACCTAGAAATGGCAATCGATAAAAGCAATGAAAAAATCAACAAATCATTTTGCCATCATTTAGGAAAATTTAACTATACCTACGCCACGGAGTTAAGATTTAATTTTATCACGTTGAATGTCACTTCATTCATGTACTGTGCTCACAAAATTTCTTTTAATATTTGCAGTTGTTCGGAATATATTTGTAGTGTATAACTTGTAGTCGAAATTAGGTGGAAAGAAAATTTAAAAGAATTTATACTGCATTAAAGTGAACTCTAAATTTTTCCCAATTACTTCAAGGGGAATGTTGTTGTATTCTTTTCAGTATGTATAGAAATAGTAAATCAGCTTTAGATAATTCTAGAAGACATTTCTCATCCTATTAAAAGTCATAAAACATAATTATTTTTATCTTAATTTAAAAAGAGTTGCAGGATGTCACAAACAACTTAAAATTTATTTTATGTAATGAAATGATGGCCATTGGAATTCATCAAGTCAGTTCACGAAACACAATTTTATTTCATTATCATTAAAGTAAGACAAACCTCGTAATTAGCCCAGAAGTCGGAGACTTGTGCGGGAGAGGAGGCGTCATATTATTATTATTAAGCAGGCCGCATTTGCGCCCAGGAGCGACTTATGTTGGTAGGCCCTAACTACCATTCAGTGCATGAATGAGGGAAACTTGGAAAGCCTCATTAATTAGGGGGCTGGTCAAATGCCAACCAGGTGTCAATCTCTCACATTGACCCAAGCCAACATTCTTCCACCCTACTATACCTGCACAGAGGGTGCCAATCCTCCATACAAGCATAGCTAATCTACGGTCTACCGGCCGCGGGAATCGAACCCAAGCAGAATTAGCACACGATTTAAGTACTGACGCCTTAAACAGTGCGGCTATCGACCGATATTTTAATAAAACAACTTTTGGTTTCACTATTCATTTCAAAAGAGCATTTTTCCTAAATTTGCATAATTAGAAAAATCTTAATATATTCCCACTTTATTTTAATTAAGCATCAAAACAGAGAAACAACTTTCCGCGTGTCTCCAACTAATTGAGCATCAATGAAACGAAGTAAGTAAATAAAACGGAAAATAAGCACTACAGGGTAATGACTTTGGAGATTTGAACAGATGGAGAGCAATTTAAAGAAATCGCTTATCCTGACAGGGATAACAAGTCTGTGCTCTTCTGATCTACAATAAAGCGTTACCTAAAAGTGAAAGTTATTCTTCTCCCTTATCACAAATTATGTTCAAACAAAATATTCTGAAAGTTTGTACGCCTGAATTATACGGCAGAGCTTAGCACCTGAGAAATATTTCTTTTTGAGCGGATATCATTTGTTATAGCCGTGGCTAAATATAGAATTAAAGTAACACTTAGACCCCTGCGGAGCTTAACGAATCTGATTTTTGATATTCCTTTCTTAAAAAGGTTAGATTACAATGGTAAATAATTTAATGATAAATCCTTAGAAACTTGAATGTATTTGTTTTTATTTCAATACGACAATGAATTGCCATTAATTAAATTACAATCATAAATCGAAAATAATGGAACTGTAAAATTTTTTTATATAAATCGGAGGATGTCTTTCAGAATATAGACAATACGACATACAAAACATTATATATTTGACGATATATAAATATAGGGTGTCCCAAAATTCACACAAGAAGTAATTTTGATAGAAAACACAGGTTTTTAATTAAAAATTGTAATGTTTTTATTGATTTGATTTTATTGCCCATTTTGCATAAATGCGGTTAAATTTCGTTGACACAGCGTTCAATTTCCTGCTTCAAAGGGTGAGTGGTCGTGGGCTTGTTGACATAAAACTTTTAAAAAATCCTAAAGAAAAATGCGTTCAATCGCATGATCTAGGAGGCCGATTCAGACCACCAAAATGGGAAATTACACGACCATGAAATGACTCAAGCACTAATTGAATTACTTCTCGGGCTATATGACATGTGGCACCGTCTTGTTTAAACCACATGTCGTTTATGTCAACATCTTGGAATTTAGGGACAAAAAACTGGATTATCATGTCGCGAAAGCAAGCACCAATAACGGCTATTTCCTTAACAGCCGCATTACCGAAGAAGTATGGTCCGATGATGTCTCCAGCCCAAAATCCTCATCAAACAGTAACACTTTGTAGATGCGTTTGTGCCTCAATAATCACTCGTGAATTTTCTGAACCCCAAATGCCACAATTTTGTCGATTAACGAAGACATCAAGATGAAAATGAGCCTCATCGTTGAAGATGATGAAGAGTCAGCATCCATTTGTTCCATAATCCATTCAACGAACGCGTGGTCAGTAGGTTTCAATCCTAGAGTCAATTGAACTTTGTAAATCTTTCGGGAGAATACGCTGCAAAGAGCTTCTCGAAATGTCCAGCTGCCGAATTGATGTGTCTGGGATCTCAGCACCACTCGCACGAACTACTTCGATTATTTAAGATCACTAACTGATCTAGTTTCCCTGAATTCCGACCATATTTTGTACGAAAATTGCGACCTGTAGTTGCCAAACTTTCATTATTTTTCAAATTTGCTCAACAATGAAAACGTGTAGCGCTCCATTTTTAATAACCCTAAACTGTCAACTGTCACGCTCTCTTTTTTTCATTGGCATTTTACCGCGCAAAATTAAAATCTTGCATTAATTTTGGGACATCCATTAGATACACTTCTCAATATTTTTTTAGTAAGTTGATTATAATTTGACATATTCTACCTTGGTTAGTTTATCGCCCTAAAGGTTGTGACAAGTTCTTATTTTTCTCAAAAGTTGTTACTAAAAAAGTTTTCCAATATGTCATCTCATTCAAAAAATGTATAAAATGGTATTTAAAGAGAAAAACACTGGTTCAGTCAAGTAACAGTACTGATTTTATCAGCGTTGCCATGAAAAACGAGATACTTTCAATATTTTTATTATTTGTATAAATTATTCGTGGTATTGATAATATCGAATCTATTCCACCTTCTTCAAAAATGAAAATCGTATCCAATTTTTTTTATTGATTATCTATAACAGTCTTGATCGAGCAAGTTTATTTCTCTATAAGTATTATCTTATATCTTTGGAAGGGAATAGGTATCAAAAAACCCTCCTTATAATGAAAGTTATTAAGAGAAAAAAGGTCTTCCACATGAGGAAAAAACAGTTGGGAAATAGTGTAGACCTTAGGCCGGTAAACTTACCAATGTAGTATTTTCATGCCATAAAGATTCCCGCATGTAGTTTCATATTTGCTGTTTCTGTTTTCTGTTTCTGTTTAAACGTACAAACGTTAAAAAAGTCTTATGCTTTCTAATACTTTGAAAGAGGTATAATGTTTTAGGAAAAATTACTTATTTACATATGTCATACAGAAATTGTAAACGTGGTTAGGACTTTATCCTCATCCTGAATAGCGAAATTGTTGAGTAAATAGAAAACGACTTAATAAACTGTTAATTTTGTTAGTTTATATTTGATTTTAAGAACAATTGAGTAGGCTATTTAAATGTGAGAATATAAGAGCAATAAAAATTTCGGAATAGTATTTCCCATTAGAAAATAATATAGTCTCCATCCACATACTTTTTGTTCATAAATAATATTTTACTTAATACAAAAAACTCTGAATAACTCTGTGACGATGTTAATAAAATATGTATGTGTTAAACTACATGAAAAAAGCGTTTCACTTTGATCTACGCATCAAGTCGACATCGCTTGAAGTCTCAATGTAAAATCTTATAATTTTGGGGATGTGTACTACAGTCCGTTTAAACATATTTTGGTTATTATAGGCAACTACAGAGCTTTTGTAAATAGTGCCTCATGGCCAGTAATTTTGTTTCCTTCACATTGACATATAAATTTCGGTAAAATTAAAAATTATTAAAACAATAAGATCAAGATTACATTAAAACACAACATTCTGTTTCATCGGCTGTAATTGGTGTAATTTTTTACGAGTCAGCTAATCAACGATCGCATTATCTCGAACGTAGACGTAATGGTTTGTCATTGTTCATTGTAAACAAATAAATGTAGATAGATATAACTCACATAACATTCTAGTCCACTTAACTTTTTTGCTTTGCATTGTATTGTATTGCATACGCCAATATCGGACAAATCCATTAAACCCGTATTTTATTTAAATAGTACATAGTATATATATTTTCTCATTTGGATATAATCCTTTCTCAGCGATTACATTGATATAAAGTTTGATAGCTTTATCTCTGTTAATAAGGCCAAAGCAGTACGCTCTTTAATTTTTTTTGGCCATATTTCTCTTATTATTTGAGATAGATTCATCTAACCCCATTATAACGTTCAGGAAACGCTCTATACCAATATGTATAAATATACAGGATTTTCTGTCAAAGAAATTTATGTTTGACTTGTATTTCCAAAATGCTATTTTCTGTTGTATTTCAGTAAAGTTTTTAAATCGCAAGAAAATTTCCTGCAACTTTGGCACACATCATTTTTTTCTAAATACGAAATCAAAAAATATAAGAAGGTAGAATGTTATTGGAATAATTATGTACGTTCAACCACGAAAGTGAACTATGACTATGAAATGAACAGAAAATGTCGCTAGCAGTTAGATATCTTAATTAATTTTGTTTCCTTTTTGTTCTAGGATCCTGCTTGAACTATGGACATGCCTGTTGGGGAGGTAAATTATATTTTTTCTTTATAGAAAATATTTATTAAAAAAACATTTCGTTCCTTAATTTTACATTGCTGCAATACCTTTGTCAACAATTTGTCAATCTACAAAATTGTTTTATGAGATTAAGCCTTTGCCGAAGCATTTTCTTTTGTATTGATGATAATTAAATAGAATAAGTTACCTACGCGATATTACGATTATTATTATAGTTTTTCCTGCTTGCAGTCAAAATTTGAATCCGAAACAGCGTGTTTATACTACTTTTGTATTACATCCCATTCGTCTCTGCATATTTTTAAAATTATTTATCTGTCTGTGTGGGACATTGTATTTTTGAATCATAACTGCGGTTAAAACTACGATACGTGAAGATTAGAAAATAACAATACTCGTACGGAATTAGTTGTGTGATTTCTACTTATACTTACATCTTACCTACTAAATATATCGTGACAATAAAAAATTACATTATGCTGTTTTCAAATTGCCTGAAATATATAAATTTACGGTAATACCTATATGACCATAAACCATTGACTTCATACATTGTCACATTATGACCCTCGTCAAACATAAAACCCGTTTAAACAATGAAAGACTACCGATAGAAGCGATTTACTTTATGATTTTTGTGCAGAACATCTGATTTTGTTTTAGATGATTTAGTAAAAGAATAAGGTCGGTAATTGTCAAGTGTCATTTTATTTCTTTGTTTTGCTTTTATGTCAATTTATAACCTTTCAGTTAATAATTTCCACTAAATGAAAAATTTACAAAAATCAAGTAAAAAAAATAGTTTGAATATTAACAAAATAAAAATATTCTGCCAACGAGTCCTGCTAGAAAGTATTAAATATTTGACAAATTATCTTTTGTAACTGATGATGATGACATTGAAAAAACTAATGTGACATAAGTTTGTAACATTAATAACGTTTGATATCTACTACAGTCGAAGTATCTCACTTAGCACTTTCATATCAAATTAAAAAAAACATTAAGTACGCTATTTATTCCAGAAAACAGAGACATTATAGAGCATCAAACTTTTATTTATTATGGGATAGGTTTTTGGGTATTATCCTATCTGAGTCTTAATAAAGTTTATGTAAAAAATGTATACTTTCTCATTCATCTGAATATGGCTCATCATCGTAACTTTTTACATTAGAAAACACATTTTTTTAGCTCATGGAAAAAGAAGCGGAAATCAGAATCCCTTGGGTAGAGAAGAGACATCCGGTAAAGATTTCAAAACAAAATGGTTTTTATCAAGACTAATTCAGGGCCCTTTAGATTTACATTACCCACATGAAAGAGACATGGATATTGCCGCCAAACGTAATTCAGAATCACTTTTTTCCGGTAATGACGGAGACTCTTTAAGAGGGTAAGTGTTTAATGTTAGGAGAACATAGAAAGGAGTACAACAGCAATTCTATGTTCCTAACTGGATTTAAATTATAATTTCCCAAATCTTCCACAGATTTTCTATATTAAAAGTGCCACTTATTACCATTTTCAGTTTTTATGTCTCGACAGAAACACAATAACGGTTTATCAGTTTTGTAAAAACAAAAATGCATAAATACGTTTCATCATATTAAATAATTCACTCACTGTACACCCACAGTTAAGCTTTTCAAAGTAAGATACAAAAAGGTATTGGATTAGGGATTGAAGGACTGGGCGAGTGAAAATGAAATCAGCTACGAAAAAAGATGTAAATATTTTATGAAATTTAACAAACAAGACAGAGTGAATTCAAGACGTAATAATTCCACACAAATATACTTTTATTTCACTTTTTTTAAATGAAAGATGATATGAATTGCTTTAAATCAAAAACAATATTTTAAATTATCTTGTAATAAAGTAATAGTGTTCTACTTGGCAAAATATTATACTATCTGGATATTGCAGCAGATTTTTCAAATATTTAAAAAATAACATTTTTAATATATCGCCAATCTTCGCTAAAAATGTTACAGAATTATTTAAAAGTAGAACAACTGAATAATATAGGCTAACTCTTTTATAACATATTCATACAAACATTCTGGTCATATATCCTGTCATGTAGTGGGGAGAGGAATACAACTATACCTTTACAAAAATGATAATTAATAAGTTTACTAATGCACCGAGTGTATAATTAACATACAATGGTTTCAAGTCCACTTCCCTTTCAGCAGTGTACTTCTATAAATTTACAAAATGACTTTGAGAATGATGGTCATTTTGGTGTATAATTTCAAAGGCATGTAACACCGTCCAAAAGTGGACCTATAATTTGATGTTTTCAGCTTCCTTGGTCCTCCGAAACAACTTCTAATCCCCAATGGATAACTGACACCTGACCGATCAAGCTTTCCTCTAATTATTATTTATTACTGAAAAATGAAATGAGACATAGTCCACACGCAGAAAACAATGCGCGAAAATTCGTACAATTGTTCCTAAAATGGTGATTGTATGAAATTTTCATAGAATATTGAAAATTTGAAAAAATTTACAATTGATTGATAATAATTTCACAATTATTGTAAAATAGTCACAATTTTCATGATAATGTATATTCCGTGCAGAAATTTTGTCATGAAGTTAGTGAATCGGTACAATAACGACTTTTACAACATATTTTTAGTTTTATAGTTTTGTATTTATCATTGTTACATTATATTAGTATTAAATATCATAAAATAATTGCACAAAAATTAACGTGTTACAAATAAATGACTCAAAATCAATGAGACTCGGAATGGTAAAATTGAAGAATGTTGTAAAAATCGGTAAAGTTCACTTTTTATTAACTTTCAACCTTACTGTAGTGCACTAGTTTTAGTAATTAATATTTATACAAATGAAAAAGAAACCAAAAATTCTATTATGTTGTTTATTTGGTCACTAAAAAGATTCTTTAGTGTTCCAACAACCTTTTAAAAAATTGACTTAACCGGTTTTTATACCAAGCTCTTCAATTGTATACAGTAAATATCTAATTACAGCCAAGACTGGGAAAGTATTCAAGATCTGATAGCTGATGACCAACTTTTTGATGACTCCATTGGACGTTCTATGGAAAACAGCAGATTGAGATCACCAAAAGTGTTGGTAAGTCAATAATTCAAATTTTATAACTTTAAAAGTATTTTCGAAACACAATATATATCCTTCAACTTGACATGTGAAGCAATTGTATTACTTCCACTCAGTTTAATTTAAGTATGTACTATTGAAATTACTTTAGGCAAATCCAAGCCATTCAAAATTCTAAAAAAATACCTTGTTACAGGATAAACGTTCCATCAAACACGATTGAGGATTCTAAGCCTGCGATTAGCTCATAGATGTATGATTTCCGACAATGCCATTTACTACTTTGTCAAGACATTGACGAACTGATTTATTTTCAATAACCTGTACATATTTTGGCCCTAGTAATTGCACATAGGGCTGGAGGGCAACTATTAGGGCCTGATAGTGAATTTGTATCATGGAAAAGAAAACGAAATGTCCACTTGAAATTTCTGTTTCCCCAAATTGTATCCGTTTGGCTTACCGAATATATAAATGTAAATAAACATTGAGGATGTTCTAAACCTGATTCTACTTCTATGATACGAAGCATATTATCGTGATGTATAATCAGTGAGCCCTCTATGTTGTTTAAAGACTGTTGAATTAAAATCAATGTATAATCATAAATTATTTATGTATATCTGATATGTGTTTTATTAAACAAATACATTTATGGAGCATGTTCTTATTTTTACCATTTACAAGTAACCCACTAAAATTCTAAGAAAATCAGTTTTCATTATTCGGTTGAGGTATGTTCCGTGAAAACGTTTCAAAATTTATATTAAAGGCTATACATAGTCTTGAATAAAAATGTTTATCGCATTATTTCCCAGCAACATTTCGGAACTGTCATTATAATTCTGGTTTTAAGAATCAAGTCCTGCAAACGAATCGAATCTGGTGTCTCCTGCAACAATACTTACCCAATATATTCTTAATAATAATAATTTCAGGGAGTTTGTAATAAGAACTCTTACTTTATTTCAACAATTTATTAAAACACTTGTGATTAAAAAATACATAAATAATAATCAAAAAAGTAAACAATACACAAAGGAATAAAAAAAATAGAATAATAAAGTTGTATTTCATTCTTGCCAATAAATTAGATTCACCCTTGGGATCATTGAGCTAGAACAATCCACAAATTCATTCCTAGAAGAAAATAGACAGTGTAAGCATGTTCATCCGTTTTTTGAATTTATATTCTTAACATGAAGACAGGAAACTGTGTACAAACAAATATATAATTATTTTCAAGAAAATTCCTGCAAAATTCGACTGTTGCTAAATAGTTTATAAATAGCAATATTGATATAGTGATCACACTTAATTTTCTTAACGCGTCGTCCTGTACATTTTAAAATATTTGATTACAAGAGTGGAAGAATATCCAATATGCATGCCTTAATTTCACATTTATATGACACATCAACGTAAACAAACTGTCGAGGTCATGCTATGTATTTTGAAATCATAAACTGAGCCTGACATGAAAAATATTCCACTATACCCAAGTTTTTTTATTGCCAAAAACTCCTGAAACCCAAAAAACAGTTAAAATCCTGCTTTCACTACGTTTCTCCATGGGCACAGTTCTGGAAACGAGATGAGGTATCATATTCGCAACTATTGCATATTTTGTGTACTCAAGGACTCAATCAACCTTGTAAACATTCAGCAGCAAAAGCCAATCCTAAAACCAAGAATTCGACTAAAGTTCTACATTCGACGGCTTCAACTGTAAACACAAATCACGAATTTACAACACAGGGACAGCGAAATCTTTGAGTTTAGTTAACTAGCTACGAACCTAAACTTCTAACTTAAAGACACGGTACCATCTCTCTAAATATTCTGTAATCCTGTCGTTTTTGATAGATATCAAAAATGTCATATTCCTTTACATTTAGTGGGTTTCTCTTTGGATATAGTCCTAGAATCTTGGTATATCTTAAATTACTGAAGACAGTTGGGAGCGAACCGAGAAAATCGACTTATAGTCCAGACGGTATCTGTTTCAAAAAGCCATATTTGTGTGAATCGTATATCCACGGAGATTTTTGGCTTTTTGGCTTTCAAATATCAGTAGAAATGAAAATTTTTCTATGCGCATAAAAAAAAACGTGGGCTTAACATTTGGCGGCACAATATGTTAAAAAACTTCGAAAAATGTCATATTTTTCTTCCTATTTAATTATGTATCTTTTCAAGAGTTGATTTTAGGCGAAAATGGAAGAGGAAAAAAATGTTTGTAATTAAATTTTTTACAAAACATGACTAGTTACAAATCGAATGAATCATGATTATTATGGTAAAAATCGAAAAAATCGCAAAAATGGGGTTAAAAAACAATACTTTTTAGGGAATTTTTTTGGTGTATTTAAATTGGGTGTAGGACCTTTATACTTGGCTCAAGAAAACTTCATGTTATGTAGAATCATCACACCAAATTTCATCAAAATCGGTTCGATAGATTTTGCATAATAATTTTGCAATCCAGATTTTGAAAAAAAAATTGCAAATTTTCAAAATTTTGCACAGCAAAAACCAAGGCCCTTAGATACTTGAAAATTTAATCACATATAGAAGGGCTCTCAAGCTTTCAAACTTTTTTTGAAAAATTCGAATCCGTCAATTAGGAGAGCTCTGGCGCTTGTTTAAACATTGGTCGAATTTTTGTACTTATAAACAATTAGAACTTTGTGAATATTCAATCAAATCAAATTTTTTAAAGCAGGTTTTAAAAGTTCCTGGAAAGACGCTTCTTTTTTAAAAAAAAACAGATCGATTGATCAATTAGTTACGTAGTTATAGCCGATTCAATTTCGAGCAGGCCGAAGCGGCCGCGCTCTCTGCTTCCCCCACCACCACCACCCGTACGATTTTATTGAATTTCTCGCTTGCATAAATAACTTTAAACACGTTTTAAAGTAGGTTGCCAATGAAGAAAAGTATTGTAATCTTAGACCTGGTAAGTACTCGGAATACCAAAGGTATTTTTCGAAAAATTAGCCCGGATGTCCCAGTACATTTAGTGTAAATGACGGCTATAACTACGTAACTAATTGATCAATCGATTTTTTTTTTTTTTAAAGAAGCGTCTTTCCAAGAACTTTTAAAACCTGCTTTAAAAAATTTGATTTGATTGAATATTCACAAAGTTATTCTAATTGTTTATAAGTACAAAAATTCGACCAATGTTTAAACAAGCGCCAGAGCTCTCCTAATTGACGGATTCGAATTTTTCAAAAAAAGTTTGAAAGCTTGAGAGCCCTTCTATATGTGATTAAATTTTCAAGTATCTAAGGGCCTTGGTTTTTGCTGTGCAAAATTTTGAAAATTTGCAAATTTTTTTTCAAAATCTGGATTGCAAAATTATTATGCAAAATCTATCGAACCGATTTTGATGAAATTTGGTGTGATGATTCTACATAACATGAAGTTTTCTTGAGCCAAGTATAAAGGTCCTATACCCAATTTAAATACCCCAAAAAAATTCCCTAAAAAGTATTGTTTTTTAACCCCATTTTTGCGATTTTTTCGATTTTTACCATAATAATCATGATTCATTCGATTTGTAACTAGTCATGTTTTGTAAAAAATTTAATTACAAACATTTTTTTCCTCTTCCATTTTCGCCTAAAATCAACTCTTGAAAAGATACATAATTAAATAGGAAGAAAAATATGACATTTTTCGAATTTTTTTAACATATTGTGCCGCCAAAAGTTAAGCCCACGTTTTTTTTTATGCGCATAGATAAATTTTCATTTCTAGTGATATTTGAAAGCCAAAAAGCCAAAAATCTCCGTGGATATACGATTCACCCAAACCAAAACAGATACCGCCTAGTCTATTAGTTGTTTTCCACCAAGTTATAAAATTACAGGTAAAAATTGAATAAATTAATATAGTTGCTTTTGGTTATCCATTTTCCTTTTGTATCACTCTTTTTTATCTTCCAACCATCAATGTTTTACTTTCGCTTTATACATACTTTATACTCAGTACTATTATCAATGTACCATCATGAAAATATGATGCCAGATGATACTATTTGTTGTTAAAAAATGGATGGTCTGAAAATTAAAGAGAGCGATACAAACGATAAAAGAATTACTAAAAACCACTGCATTTACTTTATGTGTAATTTTAAAACTGAGTTGATTTTCTCAAATCATAACTATTTTCAGAAATTTTAGTTATATCATGATTGCAGATAGATTCCTTTGCAGTGCAGTATTCAAAGAAACACCCAGTAAGTGTAAAGTTATAGCAGATTTTGGGTATGGGGTTTCAGATATCCATCAAGAACTGTAACGGATATTAGGGTTAGGAAGTTAGGGCATATACAGGGTGATTCAGGTTTAATCTGGATAACTTCAGGAATCGATAGAACAGATTAAAATAATGTTCATTCTTGATATAAACTTATTTCCTAAATCGCATCGTTTCGGATATAGAGGGCGTTGAAGTAGGAATCTTTTCCCGTTTTTTCCTCATAACTTTTGAACCTCTCATCCGACTGACGTGAAATTTGGAATACAAATACTCTTTATGATCTTACATAAGCCTCTTAAACCACCTACCCTTCTTAGAAGTATATTTTGTGTGTTACCCCCTATTACATTATTTCAAAACTTAAAAAAATAAGTAATTCAATTCAATAAAACAGCTGCACACCACCTTTGCCTCAAGAATTTTGAAACTTTTTCGTCTCTTGTTTTTTTTTTCGACATTCGGCCTTGTTTCTGAGATATTCAATGAAATTCGTGACAGTGTAGCGCCCCAGCCTCGTAAATTTCATTTAACGTTATAGCAACCCATGAAAAACAAAACCCACAGTGATTTGTATAAACTAGCGTTTGCGAAAATCATCATTAAAAGTATTATTAAGTTCAAAAGTTATGAAGGAAAAACGGGTAAAAGATTCCTACTTCAACGCCCTCTACCTCCGAAACGGTGCGATTTAGAAAATGATTTATATCATAAATGAACATTATTTTAACCTGTTCTATCGATTCCTGAAGTTATCTAGATTAATCCTGAATCACCCTGTATAATAAGGTCGCACCACTCTTTTTGTTTTAAGGGTGATTTCCTATTGTTTGTCTTAAGAGACACCAAAAATCCTCAATAAACCCCACGAACATGCGTCGCGTCGGTTCGGTTCCAGAGGTGTTGCTAGACTAAATGCAGAGCCTGCTTGCCTTCTGCCTGCTTTTTTAGGTCTCAGGATGTGGTTTTTGCAAATTTTAAAAAGCTGAAGAGTAATGATGTATTTCTCATGGCAGATCCTATTTCGGAAAGTCAAAATACATAAGATGGATGGGTTTCATCCACAGAAAAGGCCACTTTTTTGAGTGTCTGTGTTATTAATGTGGCAAAAATTATTGTATTTAGTTGAAGTGTGTTATATAGGTAAATAAAATATAAGTAATTTGTTCGTTTCAAACTTCCATTTTACACTGCTATAAATGGGTGAGTGAAGAGTGGCAGAGATTTACAAATTTTTCATTTAAAAAATGAAAATATATGTATATAACTTCTAAAAATATGTTTTTAACACAATTGTATATGTGAGGTGCTAGAAATAAAATGACATACTCGTATTTTGATAATAAACCGTGGGACTCATACCATTTTAGGGGATGATATTTGGGTCCATTTCATAATGAAAAAATTTCGGAATATATTTGGGAAATAAAGAATTAAATTAGGTTTTTCTCGATCCCATCTCAAAAAGGGTTGCACACACATTTACAAAATATTTTTTCGTGATCAACTGATCAATAATAATCGTAATTTTTATTTTTCTCTAAATTTTAAAATTTTTATAAAGTTAGAGAATTATGAAGTTTGAAAAATAGAATGCTGTATAAAATTTAATTTAAATAGGTATAGATATAATGTGATTATGGAAAAAATACAGGGTGTCCCGCATAAGAACCGACACAGGGCAAGCGCATGTAGGGATGTCCAAAATATTGTAATTTAACCAAACTTACATATATACAAATTTGCACCCCTGGGGAGTTATTAGCCCCCAAAAATCTGCAACACTTTACCGTAAAGAACCAAATTTAGTACATGATTTAGGTTTACTGAAGCACTACAAGGTGTTCATTAATTCACCCCTAAAATTGTACCGA